ATACAGCAATGATAATACCATCTGTTGATGTTAGTGATGGGTACCAAGTTTCTATTTCTCATCTGACATCATCGACTGCACAGGACTTTAGGGTGGAGATTATGTACGCTCCGTGTCACATTTTCTGCATTGGTTTTCTGAAGATTATATCACGTCACTTTCAGCTAACTTCGACTATTCCTAACACACGTTGAAAGTTATATTCTCCAGCCGGATGGCACGACAAACAAGAGCTGGATAAGCTATGCTGGGATATTTTATGTACGCTTCATCGGGTGTACATGTAGACACATCAGACTGAAACCTTCCAGAAACGGAGGTAATTCACGGTTACCCCCATTGATGGTGGAAAGGTGAGCGTGAACTGCCTCACCCGTCACAAACACATGCGAAGACAAGTCAAATTTTCACCTGAACAAACACAGGATAATACGGTACAAGTCAAATAAGGAATTGCATCGGACAACATTGTAGTCACTGATGCGTCAAATTTGGAAATGTCCTCCCCATGATAAGTCGTGGAAAGCCGCCACCCCGATCAAACAGTCGTATGAGGCTTTTTGAAATCTTCCTTATGGGGGTGAGCGAGTGAGTAAGGCTTTACGCCGCATTTAGCAGTATTCAAGAAATATCACGGCAGGGGGATACCAGAAATTGGCTTCACACATTGTACCCACGTCGGGAATCGAACCCGGGTCTTCGGCGTGACGAGCGAACGTTTTAACCACCAGGCTACCCGACCGCCCCAAAAGGCTTATAAAAAAGTAAAACATTACAACATGATTTCTTTGAATGACTAGTGCATGTAGTTGTACCTGGCTAAAACTGGTAGGCAGTCACAGAAAAGTAGCATCCATCCCCATGCACGCACGAGCACACACACTCATAGGTATACATGGCCATTAGACATATATATGTTACAGGAAACAAGTATAATAAGTGATTAAGTCTAATAACTGGAAATTTCAGTGATTATGTCTAATAACTGATTCACTCGGTGGTTACGTCTAATTACTGAAATCTTCAGTAATTAGACATAATCACTGAAATGAACCAAGGGATTTTATACTTGTTTACTGAAAGCATATCCCTGCCTTTTTATAATAACTTGTGAGAAGGCTTCATAATCCTGTCCTAAGCCAATCTCCTGTAAACAAACAGAATCATGTGTTGTAACGACATTTGAGAAGGCTTCGCTAGTTGTCCATAGAAATCAAAACATATGTTACAGGAAACAAGTATAATCAGTGATTAAGTCTAATAACTGGAAATTTCAGTGATTATGTCTAATAACTGATTCACTCGGTGGTTATGTCTAATTACTGAACCAAACCAAACTGTATAATGCTGACGATTTCAATACCGATTGAACACTCTCTTTGCGTCAAGCAGTTCAACTTGACTCAGTCTGTGGTGGTCGAGGCTTTGTAAGGTGTAATTGTGTTGGAACTTAACGGTGTCAGACCAATCGCTGCAAATGTTTTAAGGCCAAGATGCAATGTAATTCTAGATGTCATTCAAGTCTTTCATGTGCAAACAAACATTCCTGAGTGTCCATCTGACTGCTTTTTGTCATACCATTCATGTCATACCATTTTATGAAATAAAAGATTGAACTGTTTAAGCTTATTTCTGTGATTTTTGTGTAAGGTATCTGGTTACAGGAGGTTGTATTACTTTGATAGCTAATCTAATTTCAAAACTAGCACACATTATAAAAAAGGCAGGAATATGCTTTCAGTAAACAAGTATAAAATCCCTTGGTTCATTTCAGTGATTATGTCTAATTACTGAAGATTTCAGTAATTAGACATAACCACCGAGTGAATCAGTTCATTAGACTTAATCACTGATTATACTTGTTTCCTGTAACATATATACAAATATCAACGCACAATAGAGTAAGCCTGCACATTTACAAAATACATTGAAAAAGCATGAGTGAGGTGAGGTGAAATTGGGTTTAACGTCGCGTCCAAGATTATTGCACTTATATAGCGACGTGCATGTACGTGTGTGTGTGTGTGGCTGCTTGTACTAGTCCGGACTGATGCCGATTTATAGTGCTAGCCCACTTTGATACCATGCCCCTGTTTAACATGAATATCCCACTCAGACACAGTATACTGACTCCGAGCCGACCAGTCCTTGTTTTAGCCCCTTAATGCCGAGCGCCAGACAGGGTAACAACAAGTACCATCTTTTAACGTCTTTTGGTATGACGCGGCCGGGGATCGAACCCCGGACCTTCCGCTCTCCGGGCGGACGCTCTACCACTAGGAAATAGCATGAGAATATTCATGATATTAGAATAAACAAAACAATCCAAGGGGCGTAAGCATGGCCAATCTGGGATTCGAAACCCCAATTCACGGTCGTCAAAAAAACTGATGAACGCAACTATGCACAAGTAATTGCGGCGCTTTAGCTCACCGATCCACGTCTCTCTGTTAGACTGGTGAAATAGGTGCATTTAAAGCATAACTCCGAATCCAAGTTGCTCTGACAATGGCGGCTGCGGGTTGCCTAGTTACTAGGCACCATTGCTACTCCCATTAGACAAATACTGTCCGCGAAACTCATCAGCGCTGATGGATTCTACATAGACCCGGTGTTTCCCTGCAACACATGAAAGCCAGTGTTAATGTTCTCGATGCTGCATTTCGGAAGCCGTGATCAGAAAACCAATATGTACAAAATGGCTTGCATCTTGTATCAGACAATGTTTCCACGTGCTAGTCACGTGCTAGACGCATCATTATGTAATCAAACATAAGTAATCATCATCAAGGTGTTATTTATCATATTGTGATGTATCTGATAGTTTTCTTTGAAACTTTAAAGTGCCGACGATGATTTCAAGACTACGTTAACACACGAATCCGAGGTGTGGTCATCTTCCCGAGGCAAGGGAGTTAACTGACAGGACGTGTATTGTCAGTCAACTCCCTTGCCTCAGGAAGATGCGTTTAGTAGGGATAGTAAAGCCAAAATACCCCGGTCGCCGCTAACTGAAGACATATCCATTTCTCTATACAATGGAGTGTATATGTGATGAACTTTGTGAATTTCTGGTCCAAGCTATCTGTACATTAACGCAATCTCATTAAAATCAGATCTTAGTTCTCGCTACCGCTAAACAAAGATCTGATTCTAATGAGATTGTTCATTAACCCAGCTACGCGCCTGTAAAATGCCGTGATATTACTGACACTCTTCAAAGCCCACTCACTACTCTGCAAAGAGAGCAAAACCAAATCAACATTTTTTAACATATTTCCACAAATTTTAGATTTAACTTCTTTAATATGAGCGAAAAGCAGTGATCCCTACAGATGAAGAAAAATATTGATTATGAGAAATATTTGAGTTAAGTTCGCATTTTTGTTGGATTCAGAACGAGACCGTATATTTTAATGCGCTTCACGAGCTGCGTCCAAAATAATGCACGCAATATATTGTCTACATACAGCAACCGATCTGTCATACCCTTTGACTAAAGTTGCACCAATTTTTGACGCATTCCAGGTGTAACTGCATAGGAAATTCCATTCTATACATCGTATTTTGTGCGAAAAGTACGATCTTCCCCAAGTGCCATGTGAATAGTTTGTATGCGTGTTCTATTTTCGCATTTCACTAGTGTACCCCACCAACTCCAAACGTTGATGCCGCAGTCAGAATTTCTCCTTCTCTGTTCTTTCAAAACTGGAAACTTGTTTTGACACAGCTATGATCTGCTGATGCGTTTTCTCTTATCATTTGCATTACAAACTATGCCCTCTGTTAAAAAGCTGTACCGTTTCCCCTTGGCCGAATATTTTTAATAGCCTTTCAAACAGCTGATGGTCCTCAGACTTGGAAACCGATTTTAAAACACATTGTCCTTGATTAATAATCCCTGGTAAGTGAAGAGTAAATTCTTTCACAAGTCAGGGCGGAATTTGGACCAGAATTAGTAAAGGTTGTTTTAGTACCTCGCTATAACATCAGCCTGGGGACCCAGGACATCCATTCGTTACCACGACTACCATATGCTTATCGTGAGAGGCGACTTACGGGATCGGGTGTTCAGGCCCGCTGACTTTGTTGATGCATGTCATCGTATCCCAATTGCGTGGATCGATGGTCATGATGTCAATCACCGGATTGGCTGGTCCAGACTCAATTATTTACAGACCGTCCTCATATAGCATGGATATAGTATAGTACGGTTCAGCAATATTCCAGTTATATATAGGTGGCCTGTAAATAATCAAGTCTGGACAACACAATTGAGTGTTTGATATTATGAGTGAGTGAGTGAGTGAGTTGGGTTTAACGCCGCTTTTAACAGTATTCCAGTTATATCACGGCGTGTCAGCTTACTGTGGGAGGAAAGCCCGAAGTGATGCAGGTCTAAGACGTTTACCACTTCGGTGAAACCCACCAGCACGGGTATGGTGCTGACAAACCTAGAAACATAATCGGGGCGAACCGGGATTCGAACCCACAATCATAGGTTTCTGGCGTGCCCAAGGGACGCAACTCTGCACAGCGAATCGCGGCGCCTTAGACGACTGGGCCACCCGTGCCCCCCTGATATTATGAGCAACAATCCATGCTGCTGAGGTACAATAACACCCGCCCCGCGAAGATCCGGGGTAGAAGAGGTCTTCAGCAACCCATTCTAGCCGTAAAAAGCCAAGGCAACTAAGGGGATCGGTTGGTCAGGCTCTCTGACTTGACATCATATCCCAATTGCGTAGATTGATGCTCATGATGTCAATCACAGGAGCTTCTGGTCCAGATTTGATTATCTACAAACCACGGTCATATACCTGGAATATTGCTGAGTGTGGCATTAAACAACAAACAAACAATAACACGCAATTAACCAAGTCGGCACCACCGGACCCATCAAGACACCTGGAAGGATGACCACATTGCTGGGGACCTACTCTAGCAGGATCCCCACAGGCACATGGAAAACCAAGCCAAGAAACAGACAACGCATTGTGGAGTATGTTTGAGTTTTATATCAAAGGCATCTACATACATTCTGTGCATGACATGAAATAATAGATTTGTAATGATTATTATGGTGGCGAGCATATGGAATATGTTTTCACATAATAAAATGGCAAATCTAAGGGAATAAAACTCACAACAAGAAAGACCAATGTTAGAAGTGAAACAATGCAGGGTCATGTCAAAACTATCCTACACACGAAAAGAGGTACTGGCAAGAATTGAAAACTAAAGGTCACATGAAAGATGGGACATTCATGTCAATATTGCTTTCTCAAGTAACCATTTGTTTAACACTAGCAGCAGAATGCCTTGTAATAACAACATATAGAGAACAAGCAGTAAACACAAAAAAATAGCAAACACTTAAAGGGGCTCCATACCTATGTAGTTTTGATAAAAAGGCGTTGGAGCTTGTGAATCTTAAAAAAACATATAAAATCTGAACCAGATGCTGGTTGTAAAAACTTTAAGTGTTCAAATTTGTAAAAAAAATGAAAAAGCATGTAAATTTTCATAAGCTGATGTGAAAAAAAATGTAAATAGTGACTTTCTTGCAAATGGATGCCCTATTGAACTTCCCAGCTGACATGTGTTCAGATTTCTTATATTGATCACCAAAAACAAAAATGGCCATCAGTAGGGAGATACACTTTCTCCACCACAACCATTCAGTGAGATCAGATCTCAGTAGTTGAAAATTGTTTGTAAATCATTAACCTTGTCATGAGGAACCTAGACCAACACTACAGTCTTCATACAATGGGATCCTAGTTCCTAATTGGACGGTGTCTGTGTGACACCATTACTCATCACAGAGTAGCAGCTGAACAAACTAGGCAAGCATATAAACCATCACCCCTTCATACAAGAATACACAGGTACTGTGAATTACCTCCCTTTGTCAGAGAATGGTAGGCTGCATAAAATGTTCCAGCAATAGCATTGCAGAGAACAAATACATATTATGCAAAGCATCTACCTGAATTACCTTAAATGCATATAAACGTAAGACATTTAACCCCCCTCAATGTTTAAAATATATTTTCTGTCAAATTATTCATAGCAACATGCATACCTGGCCCATTCCACATAGCGATCTTAGGTGGACGTAACTTCTTTACCTTAAAGGCTTGTGTGTGTCGTAGCACTAAAATTGCTTTGTGAAACGGGGCCATAAACGAAGAAAATGTACCCATAGTTAAATAAACCAATAACTGCCATAATGCCTGCATGAGCTCTACCTTGACATATACCACACTGAAGGCTGTGCTCTTAGGTCAGATAGAACTTTCAGCTTGTGCACTAAGCACCGACACTTAAGCTGTAACCATGGTAACAGATTACCTAATTAGGCTAAACCAATTCACTGATGCATTCTGATTGCAAAACGATACAAATGCTTCATTCTGTAGATATTTATTTCAAACACTGTCTTAATAATCTGAATAGTCTTCAAATTGTACTGATGGACATTTTGGCTCACATGAAGTCCAGCCTTTGATTGTGTACTTGTATTTTCTTAAAAGAACAAAAATTTACTTCTGAAACTAAGTTATCCTTATACTTTGATATACTAGAAATAGAAAACATCAATTATTGTATTATAAGTAGTATGTAGTGTTATATGTATCAAGTTGTGTGGAAAGTAGCACGTGAATTACTGTATAACATCAGTGTATTGCTTGAGCCTTCTAAAACAACATCAACAGGTTCATCTAGGATGAAGTGTGCAAGAAATAAAAGTACAAAACACAGAACAGTCATAACATAGGATATAAATAGTATACTTTAATAGATTCCTAAGCGATTACATAATTCAGCAGGGTAGCTTTTTATCTTCTAAATGGAAATACAAAATATGGAACGTAACAATGTCAAATTAAGTTCTTGGTATTCCTGAGATTTTTTTCGTCCATTTTCAAACAGCGTCATAACTAGCATGGCTGCCAATACCAAATATTTGTAATCATCATTCTTAGTCATTTTCAAAGATGGCAGCCTCCAGGGAGATGATGATGAGAATATGCACAAGAAAAGACATAAAATGAGAAATTCCAATAACAGCCTTAGCTAGAATAACAGACTCATCGAATCATAAATCAAAATGCAGAAGATATCTTTTTAATTCTTAATTCATCATTGAAACGGCTGAGTAGCTATTTTTTAAAATATTTTAAATCCATTGCTATCAAACTGTTGACAGGATGTGTGCGCATGGGTTGAACACTTTGCTATCATGCACCCACATCACAGCAGGCTACGTCAAAATGGTCTGACATTAGTTCCCTTGGGAATTGAACCCAGTTCTTCAGCACGGCCAGCAAACACTTCAACAACATGGCCACCCTATCTACCTTATCAACAGCCATATGTCTCTTACATACTGATCTCACTTCACAAGGAATATTTCGGAAAATGTCAAGCATTTCATTTTAAAAGTGTGTACATATTTCCCATGATCAGATCACGAATCATTCTCGTCACTCTGGCAGTGATTTAGATCTGATCGTTCGAAGCAACTGAGACTTACCCCAACACTAACACGCTAACATATAACTTAGGTTAAGACATCTAAAACATCTACTCACTCGTGAGGGGACAAATTGGATCAATGAAATTTACCCAACATTATTTGGATCAACAAGTCATTAAACAACAATTAAAATAAACACCATTCAACCAGATGTAAAGTTTTGTATCAAATGAGCACCAATAATGTATTATCATGGATGAACAGCTTGATCCTTAATGCCCTTGGAGATAACAACGATTTGAAAATTATCATATTTGATTAATAACAAAATCCAGAGCTCCAGATAAGCTTTTGGTGTTGTGGGTATTTTACCCATGCATTTTAAAATCATTGGGTATCAGTAATTCTATCTGCGTATTCAAATTTCTGTTACCCACTAGTTTTTACACATGTGGGTATTTAAGTTAAATATTTAAAAACACTATTCATCTAGTCCCTGCAAACTGGTGTCGTGTGGGTTCGAGAGCTTTATAGGACTCAAAAATACCACGATACTTCCACAAGAAAGTGTGATGGCAAATGATCATGATGTAACTGTCATCGTGGAGTTTGGCAAGGTTGACGGAATGCCCGTTTATAATTTCAAAATAAGTTGCTGATTTGCTAATCGAATACGCAGGGTTATTTCACAATATTTTGATGATACGCACAAGTTTTATTTTTGTAGCGTATCTGTAATGTTCGTTGCGTATTTGATACGCATGAATTAAATTTTACTGTGTATTTCTGCATTTCTGATGCGTATTTCACGCAGATACGCAGCTTATCTGGAGCTCTGAAAATCTACTTCAAAGTGAGTCCAACATTGACCCAGATTGTCCCCTCACGGCGGTCCTGTACCTGGCTGTCGGTAGATATATTCTCTACATGAAGACAGCCAAACACTAAAAGACAATCTCCAAGAAATAACTGAAATAATGATATCGCTCTTCTCCAATAATGTATTGGGTCCCTTATCCTCTCTCACTATGCATAATGATGTATTGTTGTCATGACGATAGATCACATGATTGCACATTTTTCCTTTTGACCCTGAAAAACAAAAGAAAGTTATAAGAACTCATTTATTTAATAGGTGATGTGTATATCCATAGTGTTAATACTCATTACTGATTAACTCGAAACAAATCATAAGAATAATATCAACCTTAATATTTTTCTCACAAATGCTTGTACTAATCATGGTACTAATCACTGCTATTTCTCACTGACTACTGGATTAATTGACAACACATTCAGTGTTTAAAATGTTTCTTTGTATGTTGTTTAAAAACTGCTCTCAGCAGCGGCCTATAAATCATCAAGTCTTGACAAGAAAAATCTGTGATGGATTTAATAAGGCAATGTCCCATGCCCTCTGGTACAATACACATAAACGTACCTGACCACCCGATCCACTTAGTCAACACTCTCAACCTGCACAAGTTGCTGGGAACCAATACGAACCCAGAATCCCCATGAAGTTATTCAAAATGAAGATTGAAAGTCAAGCACCAGACCCAAGGAAACAGAAACTGTTAAAGTCTGACATAAGCCAGGTAACGGAGTCTGTTAAAGTCTGACATAAGCCAGGTAACGGAGACTTAAAGTCTGACATAAGCCAGGTAACGGAGTCTGTTAAAGTCTGACATAAGCCAGGTAACCGAGTTTGATACTCACATCTTCTGCCTCCCCTTCAAACTGAAGTAGCTCCCCGGAGGGGCGGCTGGAACTTGATCGGTACGAGCTGCTGCTACTCATGGTGGACTTGGTCATGTCACATGATGCCACTTCCTGAAACACGCCAGGATATATCCACGATATACTACTGTCATATATAACACACAGCTGGATAAATATATGATATACTCCACTGTTATATATCCCAAATAACAGTGTACTGTCAAATATTACAACTAGTGTTGGTATTGTCCGTTTGCTGCAAAATCATACCGATAAAATACGATATAGATATAAATCGGAAAAGAACCATTTGTTTTAAAAAGGCATAAAAGTTGTTTATTTGTCTATACCAACTCGTCACCATAATTTCAGATATTGTCATGAAGTAGAGAAAATATTGTTTAACAAACCATCATGTAATTGTTGGTGTTTCAATGCCTGTTGTTACAAGGTTCTACAAACTGATCCTTCCATTTGAGCTTGAAATATATACGCTGGATATTTTCTAAGGAACTGAAACAGGAACGTGTTTTATTCCTCACTCACCTCTTGTTTGCTGACAATTACTGTTTTCATGGTGTCCGAGATGAACCAGCGCTGACCTTTCATCACAAGGTCACTTGGAGGGTCATGTGTGGTTTCGGTGTCAGAGCTCCATACCTGCCAATAGAAGGTCAATGCATGGTCAACCATGTTTATGAAAGGAACTAAGTGGTTGAATCCAGATTAATGTTGCAATTTCTACTACTCTTTGGAGTGCAAACTGAAAAAGGTTAACCTTAATACTCAAGTGAGAACTATACGGGTGATTTGCATCTAATAAGTCGACACTGTTCCCAACATTATTTACTGAAATCATAACACCAACACGTTATCCCTTCAAATGAGGCTGAACACGAATAAAGAGCCTGCCCTGGAGTTTGGAATCTCCACCAGATCAAGTGAGTGAGTGAGTGAGTGAGTATGGTTTTAAGCCGCTTTTAGCAATATTCCAGCAATATCACGGAGGGGAACACCAGAAATGGGCTTCACACATTGTACCCATGTCGGGAATCGAACCCCGGGACTTCGGCGTGACGAGCGAACGCTTTAACCACTAGGCTACCTGACCGCCCCTCCACCAGATCAAAGTGCCATAACCAACAGAAAGGACTCATAAAGCAGCAAGTTTGAGTGAGTTTGGTTTAATGATGCTTTAAATAGTTGACTTATAAATCATGGCGTGTCAGCTTGATGTGGAAAGCCCAAAGCGATGCAAGTCTTAAACATTTACCACTCCAGTGAAACCCACAAGCAAGGGTAGGGAGCTAGCAAACCTGGAAACACAATGAAGGCAAATTTCACTGTTCAATATTTCTTCTAGCTTCAGGCAATATGGCTACTCATGTATACTCCTGACCAGTTCACACGAACCCTGACTGACATACCGTGACATCCTGGCCTGGCTTGGCGGAGACGTTGCGATGGAACTTGTAGACTGTCTCGTCATCCCCTGCCGTGTGTTTTAACTGCCACCCGCCAATGTTTACGGCCTGAAAAACGAGGAAAATTATGGTTAAAAACAAAGACAATTAAGGTAAAAAACAAAGACATGCTCCTTAGACAGATTTACAAATTCAAATAAACAATGCATAGATAAGGTGTTCATGTCAAGCAAACAACTGACCTCGGTAGAGATTGACAGACAATGCACCCGCTGAGGGTGAGTGAATGAGTACTTAGCAATATTACAGAGAAAGGGCACCAAGTACAATAGTCTTTAGCATAAGAAACAATCAACATCACCGAAGAAAAATGAATGTCTCCCAAATAGTGATATAACATTGTAACCACTGGATCTTCCTATTATTACAAACATGGAATACCGAAGACCCTTTTCGTCTAGAATCACCACAGGACAACAGTTTCAGATCTGTATATCTGCAGAGTTACTTCCCCTTTCTCCCGACTCACCTTGGCCGACTTGTTGGTGAGCCTGATGTAGTTGCCATCTTGGTTGACCTCCTTGATCTCGATGGCTCCCTTGGCCGAGGTCTGTGTGGAGAAACCGCTGCTGCTGGCCTGCTGGGAGTATTCCTCCACTGCCTCGGACAACGTCACTCGCTTCCTCTTGGCGCCGCGCGACACCTGGGAGAACTTGGGAGTCTTCCGTGGGGTTCCCTCCGTGGCTGACTGGGACAGGTTCAATCTGGAGACCGACCAATATAAATGTTATTTGTGTTCAGGTTGCGATCTCTGTAAGGTATTCTTCCCTTGATACACTACACATGGGAGCTGCCTGGCTAGCTGGCTGGCTGACACTGCATGTTGGCAGCACTGGGGAAATGGTGAGGCGAGGTGAAATGGGATTTAACATCACGTATTGCACTAATGTAGCGATGTGGCGTGGCGTGGCGTGGCGTGGCGTGGCGTGGCGTGGCATGTTTTCGCTTGTACTAGTCTGGACTAAAGCCGACTTTAGCCAACTGAGATTCCATACCGCAGTATAACATGACTCCAAGCCGACCAGTCCTTGTCATAGACACTAGAAGCCATGCGCCACACAGGGTTTCATACATGCAAAGAATGTCAGTCTATGATGAAATATACTACTAAAAAAATGTTAAGGACCACCCAATTCTTTCATATTACTAAAGTTAATCTGTCATGGCTTCACAATGAACTATAGGAATATAAAGGAATTGGAAGGTCCTAATATTATTTTTAGCAGTATGATTTGTTATGAGTCGCTTTAAGCATCCATGTACACGTGCAGTCACCACGAGTTAAATCAAACTGGTTGACAAATCAGTCTAGACTAGCTGTTTCTTAATACACACTATACACATACAACTATTAGGTGAACTGAGGTGAAATGAGGTTTCTCGTGTTCAAGATTATTACACTTAGCAATGTGCATGCACATGTGCATGCACATGTGCGTGTGTGCTTGTGTGCGTAGCAGCTTGTGCTGTGTCTGTGTGGTTGCTTGTTCTTGTCTGGACTAATGCCGATTTCATAGTGCTAGCCCACTAACATGAATACTCCACTCAGACACAGTACACAGACTCTGTGCCAACCTGTCCTTGTTTTAGTGCCTTGGGATTGAACCCTGAATCCTTTCTCTGGGCAGACACTCTATCCACAAGACCACAGAGGCAGTCTTAACTATTAGACTAAGGCACCAATGGCGAACCCATGGTTTCCAGTTTCAAGTTATCACTACCCATTCAAGTTGGTTGGTTGGTTTGTTGTTTAACGCCGCACTCAGCAATATTCCAGCTATATGACGGCGGTCTGTAAATAATCGAGTCTGGACCAGACAATCCGGTGATTGATATCATGAGCATCGATCCACGCAATTGGAATCAATGACATGCATCAACCAAGTCAGCGAGCCTGACCACCCGATCTCGTTAGTCGCCTTTTACCACAAGCATAGTCGCCTTTTACGGCAAGCATGGGTTGCTGAAGACCTATTCTACCCCGGAATCTTCACGGGTTACCCATTCAAGTGAAAGAATAGGAACCGATGCTTGTCATACAGACGACCTAATTGATCGGGTAGTCAGGCTGGATAATCGTTTGCTCATAACATCAATGACTGGTTTGTCTGGCCCAGTCATGATTACTACCAGACCGCCATCATATGGCAGGAATATTGCCGAGCACGTTGTTACACAACAAAGAAACAACTCTACAGCAGCTCACCTGGCCTCCTCCCCTTCCAGCAGCTTCCTGTAGGCGTCGATCTCCCGGTCAAGCCGGATCTTGATCTCCAGGAGGTCAGCGTACTCCATGGCCTGGTCGTCCAGGTTCTGCCTCAATTCTGCAATCTCAGCATCCTTCTGCTCCAGTCGGATGAGGAACTCATCACGCTCACGACGCATACGCTCTTCCAGCTCTGAGATGCGTCCCCCATACGAAGCATTCTGAAACACCATGGGACATGAACCTTACAGCACATTGACACTGTGTAGCCATGAGATCCATCTGGTCATGAGAATGACCTCAGTGTTTTTCACAGATAGCAACTTATTCTGAATGTGGGTAATGAACAGTCTATATAGTTTCAGTATCCTACCTCAGAGCGTAGTCTTGCTACCTCCGATGACAAATCATCGTACTTCTTGCGGGTAGTCCGGAGTTCATCCCAGGCGTTGCCCGCTGATGACCCACTGCGGTCCACCTGGTTCTGAAGATCTGCCAGCTGAAACATAGCAATTTGTTGTGAAAATTACTTGAACTTGAACATTTTCAAAATGGAAGAAAGAATAACTCATCTACACTTCATGGTGTGCATCAGATATAGAGGTCAAATAAACAAATGGCCCTGTAGTGTTAGCGGGTACTATTTAAAATGTTGATGCAAAGCTGTAATAGTACAGTTGCAATTTTTATCACTTGACCTAATTCTTGTCTTCAAACAGCTTCACAATTTACATCATGCATGTAGGCATTATTCACGGCTGTAAATTCAATCTTTATCACAAAAACTTCCAAGATATTCAACTCATGTAAAACCATCTTTTTAGTGAATTGCTAACAAATGAGGTACAGTGTATCCTGGACTGATACATGATCTTGTTCTGAATGCCCAGGTGTGTTCATCTACTTGGTCCAAACTTAATGCTGGCATATCTACAGCATAAACCACTGTGCATCACAGGTCATAATCAAGCTATTCAAATCAGGTCATTTCAATAGATAGCATAATAATAATAATAATAATAATAATAATAATAATAATAATAGTAAAACTATCTGAAGCCAAAGGAGGACAAACTGGAAATATGTGCATCTAAACATCTCTACCTTTGACAACCTTCGTGCCATTTAAGACTTTCCACGGTAAACATCTTCCATTTTGAAATAACCTGCATCAGAGAGACCAGTACAGTTTAAACTCGCGTCAACGACCCACAAAGAGTATCGAGGCATGCTTTTCATGACCTCACAATGTAAGCTGGAGCTGATTCACTCAAGTGTAGCACATCATCCTTGCCTAGCAACGCATCTTTCCTCAGTGAGGACAGTGGGGGGCATTGTGTGAACACTGAGGTACGGCAGGTGTCAGTTCACAACCCATTACGAGGAAACCTGTTACGAGTTAACCAGGTTTTAGTTGTTTGACTACTGACAATCAAACGCCTCAAACTCCATTTGTATCACCATGATGGGAATATGAATGTTTTATTTTTGAACGCTGCAGCTGTGTTCATGCATATCAGTGGTTGACAGTGGAGAGCTCGTGGTGTACAATGCAACATGCTAAGGCAGGTGAATGTACATACGGCTTAATGCCAAGACAGATCCCACCTTTGAAATAAACCCCAGCCTGCTCGCCGAGGCTACTACATTGAGGACATGTAAAAATCCAATAATGGTAGTCCTCATTGACAAACAGCAATATTGTGGGCTATAATTCTGAACCAGTTCTCAATGTTTCAAATTTGCTACAATCTGGAACTGAGCATAACAGAGGAGGACATTTGAACATCGTACACATTTCTCTCTTGTTGAAACAGGACTAGGTACAAATTCTGATTACTGGGATAATTAGGTTTACACTTGGCCTCTGGACTAGTCATAAAAGATTTTCTAAGGCAACAGATCTATGCCTCAACCAGTAGGTGTTCTGATCAGTATGTGTAGTAAGTAGAACCTGATGTTAATGTATCTGATGGTTCCTTTAGATCAATCTTGACTATAAAGATAAGTAAAACAAGGAGTGTCTCCTTGTTGCATGGTAACATCTTATATCGGCGTATCATAGGTTTTTGGACATGATACGTTTTCGGATGGCAATGTTTATCATGATTACTCGTGCTGCAAAAAGGGTGTGGCAACACACAGACATTGTAAATACATAAATGATGGCTTATTCATAAGGTTCATTGTCTTTTATATGTTACTGAGATGTTTAACAGTTGTTCAAGTGATTGACGAGAAACCTATGAATGTTTCTTAAGGGTCTGAAATCCCATAAATCAGGGATATACCTCTGCAGCAGGACAACTTGAAACTGATGAGTTGATTGATAAATTGACCAAATGATGATCAAACATGAAAAATTTATTTGCGTCACTCAAAAACAAAAACTAAATATAAAGGGGTTTCTTGGATTGAGGAGTATAGCTCTAGTTTTTTATCTATGAACCCAAACAATTAAAAATTGAACAGTAGGTTTATCACGACAACTCCTTGACTTTCTTTTCACAATGGAAACTTTGACCATTAAGCCTGTACAGAGTTGTTTTTGTGTGATACCCTATTTATCTCGTGACACTGTGAGAAGCCATATTCCGTGGTAAGAGGAATAACTAGAAACTCAGTCCATTTAATAAATTTGAGTGATGCTGCAAACTTATACCATGTGGGACCGCGTGTGTTGGCATGTGGTCGGTCCTGTGCACAGGTCACAAATCAGTTATGCAATGTCAGTCGCGGAGAGACCTTGGATGTGTGCCCGTTTTTCGGCAGCTTTGCGCCTGCGAGTTTCTTCGGCTTTGGTCATGTCTCACACTGAAGCACATGTAACACTTGTGGCGTCTCCTTGGGCAAGTGACTTTGTTCGAAATGCGTTCCCCCAGCAGTGAATGGGTACCCAGTAGGATGAGATGGCGATGTGGTTGCCAACATGCGCCTAACATGAAGCTTGGGTTGTATACTCCCCAAGGGAGATTACCATGATTTTGGAGTGCACATTGATCCAGTGACGGGGGTAATAATAGCACTTTGAGCATGACCCTGGGTGGTTTGGAAATTTGTGCACTATAAATAGCCTATTACAGAACCGAACAGGTAGAAAATCTCAACTTACCTTGTTCTCATAGAGAACCTCCAGTTCCACCTTGACCTGGTGCAGGTCATGCTCATGTTGTGCCCTCATGTCACGCAGGGCCTCGGCCAGTCGGTCCTCGTACTCCGCCTGCAGACGGCCATCCACCTCCTCAAGCTCCACAGTCGTGCGGGTTCGGCTCTCATCAAGCTCCTGCAGTTAACAGCCCTCTTTACAACATCTTTTCACAATAGTTCGGTTCTCAGATAAGGATGGAAAACAGAGCTACAGATAAGCTGCTTATTTGCGTAAAATACCCCCAAAATCTTTTCAAAACCCAATTACTTTCAGTTTACATGCGTACAGAAGCGCATGCATTCAATGAAAAACTCAATTGTTTGAAAACAGAAATAAAAACATGCATAAATACCAAATGAGGCTTTTTCAGCATGCGTACAATGGAGCTAATTTCCGAAACACAATAACGAGCTAATTTACTTTCCGAGCCAAGCCTATATTTAGAACCGTTCTATATTTTTGAAATCTCAAAATGCTTATTCATGTGGGGAAAAACCCATTAGAGTGATGAATAGATATAAATGTGAAATGTTATAACCCAATTAAAATAGAAATCTTCGAGTAAAAACTTGATTGCTCAAAAAGTTATCTGGAGTTCTGGGAAAATGCGATCATTTCTCTCAAACACAATCTCCACAACATAATAGCAATTAATAATAACAACATGAAGATCCGAGTTTAAATCGATCTTCAGCAACCCATGCTTGTCGTAGAGAAAAATAATGGGATCAGTTGGTCAGACTCACTGACTTGGTTGGTGAATGTCATCGTATCCCAATAGTGTACATCGATGCTCATGATGTCAATCAGTAGATTGTCTGTTTCCGGCAGACAGTCGATGCACTTCTCCACAGAGGCACTTGACTAAGGACAGTAGTTAAGCTTGGAATACACATACCTTTTCATAGACCTGAGATTTGAAGGCAATATCTTCCTTGAGACTCTGAACTCTGTTCTCAAGGTCGACCCGTAGAAGTGTTTCCTCCTCCAACTGAGCCTTGAGTTTATCCAATTGTTTCTGCAGCGCAGCATTCTCTGCTCGTAGATTCTGTTGAACAATAGTATCATGATACTTGCATGTGCTCTTGTTTGTGGTGCGTAAGCCCTCTTTTTCCTCGACAGAATGGCCAAATACCTGGCACACTAACAATTTACAGTCAGCAGCGTCAAGTAAGGCACAATGGATGAAAGTATTCACGTTTTCACTACTTATTTACACAAATAATTAGTGTTTGGTATAACATTTATTAAGGAATACATTTAAGTTAAGAATCAATACTTCTTGCATAGTGTGCTATTGTGTCGATACTTGTATTGAGAAATAAAACAACGCAATCCACCAATGCATTGGTGTATCGTCCCACTACTAATCAAAAGTCTGCATGTCAGAAAGCAACTAAAAATCTTTCATTCAATATAAAGTACTATTTCCATTGAAGCTGGAAGCCATTTGGAGCAAAGAAGAGACTCTAAGTTGATACCAGTTTTCAATACTACCACCAGACAATAATTTTCCAAAATTGTTACTATAGTTACCAGTGTGTAACAAGTTAATAAAAATCTTCTTTCAATTGTAATGTTTGTAATAATATGAAATGCTACTGATCTTTGCCAATATCATTTCCTGAGTTAGAATGATTAAATACTGAGAACACAAGGAGAAGCCTACCGTATTCGACGTAATAAGCGCCCAGGGCGCTCTCAAAATTAGAAATAGGGGGCTCTTATTAGAATATTATTTTGGTGGAAAAAAACAGAGTCGAAAGATAAATTTCGTGGTTTATACTGACAGCCTGAAATGTTTATATACGAGAGATACATATTTTCGGAATTTAATTGCCCATAATTAAGGGTGCATATAACAAACGAGTTCGTATTATACGCAAATAAATAAGTGTTGTGTACACTGATCTATCGGAAGGGGTGCTAATTGGAATTGTTCCCTGGCCAATATATTAGCAAATATCACCGTGGGCGCTTATTAGAGCGGGGCGCTTATTACGTCGAATACGGTAATCATCACGATCATGTGAAAATATCATTACAATCTGAACTTACAGCATTTTCTTTCTCTAGTGGCTTCTTCTTGCTCTCAGCATCTGAAAGACGTTGTTGCAGGTCGATTATTGTGGCCTCAAAACCAGCAATCTTCTTCTCTAGGCTCTGTGCTTCACGGTCTCGCTTGTAGTATCTGAAACAAGGGAGACAACCAATAAGGACTAGGCAACATAAAAATTCCCCTTGATCTTTCAAGCAATATTGTGTGGAAATGTAAGGGTTAGACACAAACTTGAAAGATTTTGACATGCACTTGGTGCAAGTAGACAAATATATTAGCTTGCATTTTTCAGTAATAGGTTGCACTGGTGCATGCTTTATTTAGCCAAATCAAGTCTTCCACTGAACATGCAGGTCCAAACTTGAAGGACAGAGTAATCCTCACAAGAGTGAGTGAGTGTGTTGGGTTTAACGCCGCTTTTAACATTATTCCAGTTATATCACGGCGTGTCAGCTTAATGTGTGAAGAAAGCCCGAAGTGATGCAGGTCTCGGACGTTTACCACTTCGATGAAACCCACGAGCACGGGTATGGTGCTGACAAACCTAGAAACATAATTGGGTGTCACCAGGATTTGAACCCACAATCATAGGTTTCTGGCATGTCCAAGGGACACAACTCTAAACTCCTCACAAGACTACTGTCAACTCAAACCTGATTTCCATGTTACAGAATACACTGCCCAGTCACTGGGCCTTTTACAAAAGTTTATGCCATACTAAGACTTAAAATATTATCTGCTTGGACACATTAATATCTTTTCAAAAAACTGATCACATGGATAAAAATGATAAACCCCAAGATGACATTGCAAGTTAGATTTTACAGCAAGGTTTTGTACTTGCATGGTTAAAAAAGGGCAAATTATTGTTATTGTTGGGACCAAATCATGCTAAAACCTGTAACATGTTAAGAGCATATATCAACATGTTTCATTAGCAATACTAACACCTGTAAGAGTGGTAATGGTAAGACTGACCCTCACTTGACCTAAATACATGGCTCAGGACATCAAAGAAAGAATTGTTTCTAGAATACATGGGACACTGTTGACATCTAACATGTACAATTTCTAAGTTCCATTGACTTTCTGTACCCTATTTATGACTGAATAAACACTGATTATCTGGTTCAGGTCAATACCTGTCCATGCTTGTCTGTAAACAATCGTAAAATTGTTGAATAGTGTACTGTCCTCAACACAATCCTCCTCATAGCATAAAGAAAATGCCGGGATCTCTCTGGGATTCTAAACTAAGTGCCCGGGCAGGCAAATTGGGTAAACAATCATTATTTCGTTAAAAAAAAATTTTTAAGTTCTTTATTTTCTTATATTCTGACATATGTTACCATTGCTATAACGTTAAAACAGGCATAAAGCCACTTCCCCCTTAATGGTGCTGTTGTCAGTGATATACAATCACCTCTACACAGCGTTAACATTAATATTAACTATATCAAATTCAGACCTTTTTAAATCTTGTAATTTGGGAATTGTTCACTGACATTTGCTAGACATGGGGCTGAATATCAGTTTCTGAGAAGGTCGAGATAAGTTAACTCAACAAGAAATAACAGACTAGTTTGTCAGATAAACAAAATGGGTCTTTCAATAATTACCCTAGTCAAATATCATTCACGATAAATTCTTATCATTACTCAACATGATGATCTTAAGTGAAACTACTTTAATCTTTCATTGCTTCAATTAATGATCAAACCAATATCAGTAAAACAGAACCTTGGTTTTTTGGGACACAATTTCACCAAGGACATGAAATCCTGTTGAGGTCATCTGAGCCCATTGAGAAGAACAGGCATCAATATACAGGAAAGGGTCTATGTCATGCTTGCTGTGCAAATATCTGTTGCAAGATAGCAAGCAACTCATTCAACCATCTACACTCGAGTCACGAGCCTACCAACACGCCTGCCATATGTGAGATACACCCCATGACCCCACCCCATGGGGGGAGAAGTCCCTATCTCAGCTGCTATCTCAGTAGGTATCAGGCTGCAAATAATCAACTCAATTGCCTGCTACAAGAACATGAAAAACCTATGACATCATAATGATTGACAGCTGAAAGGGCTGTGTGAGACAGTGAGCTCATCAGATTGTGTTATAGGGCCTCATCACTACGGAAATGTCAGCCATCTCTTTTGGGTGTAGTCATGTCCCTCTCCCATTGTATTGTCCTGAACCTACCATTCTAATCTTTCTTTGGTATATACTTTAAGGAGCTTTTCAAACCAGGAAATAAGTAGGAAAAAGTGAGTGTGTGAGTATTGGTTTACGCTGCTTTGAGCAATATTCCAGCAATATCACGGCTGGGGGACACCAGAAATGGGCTTCACACATTGTACCCATGTCGGGAATCATACACGGGTCTTCGGCGTGACAAGTGAATGCTTTAAACACTGGGCTACCCGACCGCCCCATAAGTAGGAATGAACCTGTTAAGTCACTATATGGCTGAAATAATGCTGATGTGATGTTAAACTTTAATTCACTCACTAAACCTTTTAATCATAAATCAAACATAGTTTTTTTATTAATAAATATTTTCACCAAATTAAAAATGTATGTAACATCAAGTCTTTGAAAGGCATTTAGAAGTGATACACATAAGGAAGAGAATTTATGGATGTCAACTATTATTTCACATGATGAATGAGTAAGCATACGCTCTGAAACGGTGTGTTCCTCATTATAAAGAAGTTGACATCCATAAATTCTTATCTTTGTATGTAAAATGCTAATAATAATGATAAAAAGATTGAAATGCGGACACAGGAAAATTAACTTTCGCATCTACAAATGATCTTGGGCTGTAACTATGGTAATGATTTAACAAATGGGTATGGCCTGTCAATAAAGTATTAAGTTAACATGGTTAACACGTAAACACAGAATTGTAAAATACTACTGGGATTTAAGGATTCCAGACTAATCGACCTTGGCAGGCAAATTGGCAAAAAGTAATGATATTGTTCAAATATTTTTTTATGTTCTTATTTTCGTAAATTCTGGGGGAATTGGGAGGGTCTTCTTTTAAATTGAGAATTTTTACTGCCATTTGCTGCAGATGTGGTGGACGAATATCAGCCTCTAAGCAGGTCTAGATAAAAACACTGTACTCCATTCTGAAGTTGAGTTGCGTGCAAGTCATTGTTAACTTATTACAAAATGTTTTTTGTTGGGTGTATTTATTTCCTTTGTTGATGGAACACAGCACTTTGACAAGCAACCATATTGTGTAATGCAACTATAGCACCAAGATTCATATTTCATCATGATAGTGTATCCTTACCAATTACCATGCTTACTGTTACAATCCTACTTCCAAAACTGTAGACACACACTTGTTTCAGCATACAGCCTCACGAATCAGATTAAATTACTATGAAGGTCAAGATGAAACAATAAATATGAATTAACTGAATAATATCAACAAGTCAACAATGTAACATCCTGGACCACGCCTTGTATGAAAACAACCACAAGTCAGAAGTCCCATGTGGTTTTTATTCTCCACAAAGCCCCCCCCCCCCCCCCCCCCCCCCCCCCGGTGTCAATTACTCCAGTCTCACTCAACTGTCATTTAACCCTCTGTAACCCTGTTTCAGAATTGCCAGGGCCACAGAACACTCCACATAACTTTCTATAACATGGCCATTCCTATCAATGATTAACTATACCCGACAACACAATTATAGCATCATGACTAATTAACTGACTGGAGCTGTATAATGAAGTGTGCTGGGAAACAAGGCCATGCAGATACTACTTGCCTACAACTGATGGGAAATGTGATATGCCTCCCCCACCAGTCAGTCAGTACAGGGCCACTAATCCCTCCACACACAGACCCATGCGTTGGCAGTGTAGTGAATACTGATCCCCTTCCACTTGTCACAGGTACTCTTATTCCACTCAACTTGTCCAACATGACAATAGTACTATTTATGTGGTAATTACAACAAGAAAAGGTGTAATTACTGCTGTAATTACTAATACACTTGTCATAAAGTAATTGAATGAATGCGGTTCAATAAGAATAGTAAGGCTATTAAAAAAAAGAGTATCCCTCCAAAATATTAATGATTTCTAACTTTTTGGGGCTCAGACTAACATATTTTGTATAACCGTTATGCATCCTGACAAATATGTTTGAAACTTTCAAAATTTAACCACTGCATTAATTACTACTGACTATTTGCTCAATGATGAATCATGGTTATTACTGTGTGAAAAAAAAATTCTCAAAAAGAACAAAGACAAATACTGTTGTGGTCATCAATCATTGGTATATGCATAATCTGTTTGACCCAACCAATAGAACTAGTGAAAAGAATAATTCGATATAACATATTTTTCCAGAAATAATATGTCAATGTGTCTGCTTTATCCTCATGATCATCCTGAAATTCTATTTCAAATTTGAAATGAAAAGGCATTAGAATGATCTGCATTGATAGTTGTACAAGAATGTTTAACGAAAATGTGTATCATTGGACCAAACAGATTGACACATTTCCACATCAAAGAACCATCTCATGTTGTCTGCAGCTAATAAAGTACAGTTGCACTTCACAACCTCAATAAAGCAGTACACGCTGAAGTCTACAGGGACAGTTTAATGGAATACACCAAATTGCCATCCCAATACCACTGTTTCCAATAAGAAGTTCTTGCGCGTGTGAACCAGTTCCTGTGGTTACCATGCAGACACTGGTCAATACAGCCTGGCTGTTATCATGTTTATTGCACGTCCATATATCACAGTCAGGGTTGGGCATTGACTTGTCCAACCTGATTACCAACTTAGGCCTCAACAAATTGATTCTTGCTCTGATTCTTGTTGTCATAATGTAACAAATGCTGGTGTTGTTGTTGTGTCCTTGAAATGATTCATTCCACATAAATTAGATCAGTCATAAAACTCTAACTTCAGCCATGTATCTTATCCTAGGAAAGATGTTTTAGGTTTTCTTGTTCGCCCCACTCAGCAATATTCCTGCTACAGGATGGAGGTTTGTAAATAATCGAGTCAGGACCAGACAATCCAGTGATTGACATCATGAGCATTGATCGACATCATGTACATAATTGGGATAAGATGACATGCA